TAGGATGCTGGTGTCACCAGGTCCGTGTCTGTCCTGTAGGGTGATGGTGTCACCAGGTCCGTGTCTGTCCTGTAGGGTGATTGTGTCACGAGGTCTGTGTCTGTCCTGTAGGATGCTGGTGTCACCAGGTCCGTGTCTGTCCTGTAGGGTGCTGGTGTCACCAGGTCCGTGTCTGTCCTGTAGGGTGATTGTGTCACGAGGTCTGTGTCTGTCCTGTAGGGTGCTGGTGTCACCAGGTCCGCGTCTGTCCTGTAGGGTGCTGGTGTCACCAGGTCCGTGTCTCTCCTGTAGGTGCTGGTGTCACCAGGTCCGCGTCTGGCCTGAAAGGTGCTGGTGTCACCAGGTCCGTGTCTGTCCTGTAGGGTGCTGCTGTCACCAGGTCCATGTCTGTCCTGTAGGGTGCTGGTGTCACTACGTCCGTGTCTGTCCTGTAGGGTACTAGTGTCACCAGGTCCGTGTCTGTCCTGTAGGGTGCTGGTGTCACCAGGTCTGTGTCTGTCCTGTAGGGTGCTTGTGTCAGCAGGTCCGTGTCTATCCTGTAGGGTGCTGGTGTCACCAGGTCCATGTCTGTCCTGTAGGTTGCTGGTGTCACTACGTCCGTGTCTGTCCTGTGGGGTGCTGGTGTCACGAGGTCTGTGTCTGTCCGTTTCACCCCACCACAGTCGCGACCTACGACAAGAATAGTCGCTTCTTTCGTCAAGGATGGGTTGCCGAAGACCTGTTATATCCCTGATAATCCCTAAAAATGTGTGCCCTGAACAACTATTAACCAATTATTTTATAAAATTGGATTGAGACTAGTTTTCGGATTTGCGACAACCTGCATATCCTGGCACACTTCACGCAACTCTGCACCTCAATCAAAATCCAGTGGTTCGCATACCACATTACATTCAGAGTGTCCACTCCAAATGTAAATCTAAACATTTCGAGTAATAGCGACGTCTTGACAAGTGCTTTACTAAGCTGTGAAACACATGTTCAGAATAATATGTAACAAGATGAATATTGACATAATCTTTTTCCTTCAAAACTTTGCATGAAGAGGTGTGAAACGTTCAACGCTCACGAGTGAGACGCTTACAAAATCAATATGCGCTTGTTTTTCCATATGAAACCAAATAAATACATTTCAACATCGTGATTGGTCAATTATTTTGCAATGAGCTGCATTTTGAGATTTGATGAGTGAGATTTTTGTTAAAATGAGGAGTACATAACAGGTTTTGTCAGCAAACATTTAGTGAAACACACTTCCATGTGAAGCCCTTGCAACGTGTTGTGTGAGAAGCTTCGGATTATGTGTTTGTATCAACGTATTACTATGAGTAATTACATCCGTGTTATGGGCTCTGATTGACTCAGCGGATGTGATAAAGTCATCTGTAGACAATAGCACAAGCCAATAGGGGAAGCTGGAAATTAAACATGAAAGTACATTTAATACCCGCACTGAACTGAAAGTGATGGGATGTGTCGACGGCCTGATGCATGTGATAAATATGTGCTCAACACTCTCACCCGCACACAAGATAAAAGTTAATTTGAAAAGAAAGCATTTCCAATCTAAATATTTGCTTAGCATTTCAACATAGCTTTTATTCTTTCAGTTTGCAACGGTACCAGGTACATAATAACATGATCTTGACAGCGAACCTCGCACAGAGTGACAGGAGGTTTACACAAATTCAGGTCTAAAGTATCCTTGGCGTCTTTCCAATTCACTTTAAAGTCACGTCCCGGACTCTGCTAAGGTTGAACCTTCCATTGTTTCAAGAACACCTTTCATTCACTTGGCGCAGCTCAGACTCAAGTGTTGTAATGAAATAACTAATCGTAGGCAGTGCCCACAAGTAATCAGTTATGTTTCGTGTCAAAAATACTATTTAATTATCATCACATAAGTATGCGTACAATGCAAAGACGGATATAGGACAATGTCAGACTCATTAGCTTTCTCCTCTCTGGTCTCTCTGCGTTTGTAACACTTGAAATACTTGTACATCTACGGATATACACCATTCATTATCAATGAACTGACCAGTGGAGTCGGATGTTTAAAGTTCCCGAGTTGTCACAATGTCATAGCTATTATTTAATTCATTGTGTACAGTTATGTATGTCGGCTTTAATATAGGCATGGCGTGTTTCTAAATGTCGCAGTCGCCTCGTGGAATGTGCTTAAGCCATTTGTCAAGTGAACAAGGCTACAACCAACTTATCTGAAAAAAGTGGTTCGAATCCAATCACGGTCGACTGTAGAAAAGTGTACGATCTTGCAACCATTTTCAACAATACCACAGCAGATAATGAGCTCACAGTCAATAGTAACCGTTAAATGTGCTACAAAAAAGTCACTTTTGTAGATGACTTACGCAATTAAGGAGTTGGGTGGCCCTTAAGTGTGCTAGAACCTTATGATTGTGGATTCAACCTTCGTCAGCTCAGGGCCCATATCCAACCAACCCAGAACTTTTCGAGCACCAAGGAGACTACCCAACACTGCAGCCTTCTGCATTACCCAGGTTGTCAGAAGGGCTGTATTCCTGGAAAAAAAACGGGAACTCCCCAATGTCAATCAACAGATCGGGACGTACCAAACCTAAGGCACCGAGAACAATTGGGAGTAGGACACCATGGTGCTTGGGATGCAAGCGTGGCATTTCCAAAGCGAGGTCCGCATATTTGCCATATTTTTCCTCAATCTTGTCAATCACATAAGTGTCAAAATGGATAGAAAACTCACTGATAAACATTATTTCATTGGATTCATCAAAAAGTACAAAATCAGGTTTGCTGGACTGGATACGTCCGAAGCTGTATAAAGGCCTATTCCAAAGAAATTTGTATTCATAATTTTCCATGGCGTCCTCTACATATTCTGGCTCGTACCATGGATGGACCTGTGTGTCAAAACCACAAGCATAACAATGATCGAGCCACTCCATCATGCCGCTTACGATGCTGTGTTTGTGCCACTAACAATGTGTTGGACAGTCTCTTTATAATCATTTCGAAGTCTACATTTCATATTTACATTTTGATGCAAAATCACACATTGATGGTTTTGAATGGGAAGTGCCTAGTCCTGAGCAGCAAACAGAAAGCTTCTGTTTCACTTTACAGGCCAGACGACTTCATCCAAGCGAGGGGCGGTCGGGGAGCCTGGTGGTTAAAGCGTTCGCTCGTCACGCCCAAGACCCGGGTCCCATTCCCAACATTGGTACCCATTTCTGGTGTGCCCCGCCATGATATTGCTAAAAGCCACGTAAAACCTCACTCACTCATCCAAGCAAAAACTCTGCAGGTTGCTGATCTCAACACACTAAACCAAAACTCGATGCAGTGGTCGTTCAGAAAGCCTCTTCTTGAAAAACTGAGTTTTGGCCGATTTCATATGGCACTTCGCTTGGTTGACACACATTGCTGTACCATCGGGCAGTGCAGAACAATCAACAAAATCAACATTGACCTTGATATTACATCCCACATCCTGGCTCATTTAAGAAAACTGTGCATGGCTATAGTTTTCACCTCGAGTCGTGACGTTGTTATTATTATTATTATTATTAGTAGTAGTAGTAGTAGTAGTAGTAGTAGTAGTAGTAGTAGTAGTAGTAGTAGTAGTAGTAGTAGTATTTTTCAAATTAAATAAAAAATGCAGCAAAGAGGGTTTTGGTGATCCTAGGACAGTCAGGCCGGTTAGGCTCATTATCAGCTCAGGGCCCTTGCCCCCTCTACACGCAGCCCAGAATTCTCCCAGGAAGTGCTGCCTAGTAAAACCCACGCAGTACTTTTCGGTGAATGTGAAGACTCCCCAACACTGCAGCCTTCTGCATTACCCAGATTGTCAGGAGGACTGTATTCCTGGTAGCAAACCCGGGTACTCTCCCGATGTCAGTCAACAGATTGGGAGGTACTAAACCTAAGGCACCGAGAACAATGGGGAGTCGGACAAGCATGGCGAAGACGGTAATAAAATGATCGAGCCACCCCATCATGTCACTTAAGATACTGTGTTTGTCCCAAAGCTGGGCATCCACTCACAATTTATTGGACACTCTCATTACATTCATTACAACATTATTATTATTAGTATTAGTATTAGTATTAGTATTATTATTGTCACTGGAATGGTGAAGGGTTCAACACACTACTTGGTATTTTGCTCCCAATACACTTTCGTTTTCATGCTCACTTTACTTGACAGTTCTAGGAAGTTAGGAAGTGCACTTTCACCAGAGATCACACTCAACACACAATATAAAATATCCCGTCGGACAGAGGCTTTCGCTCTAGTCATCATGGCAAATTGTGGCTTACTGTGTTTCTGAAGCCTGGATATCTTACAAACAGGATGGTGAACTGGTTGGCATGTGTGATAGTGTGTAATGTTCTGATCGGTGGGATTCATCAAACAAGAGGTGAATTCTTTAATTGCTTTATGTTACTGTATTATTATAAAACATTGAATCTATCATTGTTGGGTCTATTTTCCCACCTATGTAAATTTAATAAATCATTAGTAAAAGGTAAGGTGAGGTGAGGTGAGGTGAGTTTTATCCTAACTTTGAAGATTAGTGTACATAGGGGCCGACAATGGATAGGGTCTGGTGTTTGTGTGGATCGGTAGAAAAGCATAGCGTGTTCCATAGCCATGCTTTTTCTACATCCAATAATCTCTTAACCTACATCCACGTGTCGCAGAAATCATTGGGCATGTACTGAAAGCTTTATCCTGATTGTCGAGCACTTGGCTCTGAGGGCAGATGATTTATCCCCTGAATATCTGATCGGGCGATCTTTAGTTTTGTACAAGTAATATCACACAGTATATCTGCTCTACGATGATTTCACAATTCATTCGTTGTTTTAGCAAAACACATCCAATGGTAAATCTAAATTAATATTCTGACACTGTCTTTTATTTCAGGTTGTGGCGGGACCTACAGGCGACAGTCAGGAACTATTACATCCCCAAGCTACCCTAACACATATACCAACCATCTGTCCTGCACATATGTTATCAACCCCCCAAAGCTGATCAAACTTAGATTTGAAACGTTCAACACAGAGAGTAGTTATGACTATGTGAAGGTAAGTATAGAACAGGATATGTTCATGACGATTTAAAATTGGCAATGGCCCACGCAACTGATATGTTCGTTTAACTCTTTTAATGTGGATATCATTTATGTTTTTACCATCTTTGGTTATAACTTAATGCATTTCTGGTTTCCAGATATGTACGCGAGGACAGTATACTTTAACGGACAGTTTAGAGTAGTAACTATGACATGACAATGCTAAGTGAGGAATTAAGAAAGGGAAACACATTTCTGACATGACTCTGCAATTTGATATTTGATTACCTAATGTATACTGTAGCAGGTTTGTTTATGTATTTGTTTAAAGCCACGCTCAGCAATTTTCCAGCTATTTGACGGTAGCCTGTAAATAATCGAGTCTGGACCAGACCATCCAGAGACTGACATTATGAGCATCGGCCTATGCAATTGGGATGTATGAACCAAATCAGCGAGCCTGACCACCCGATCCCGTTACTCGCATCTTACGACAAGCATAGTCGCCACTTACGTCAAGCATAGTTTGCTGAAGACAAATTTTAACCCGGATCTTCACAGGTTCTAAAGCAGGTGTATGTTGCATATGGAGTGACGGCCATTCGATAGACAAAGAGTTGGTATAGACATAGTTAACATAATCATATTTACACTGCAAAGGCTGTAATCAGGTCAAATGCACACATATATGTAAATATGTGTAGACATCTTCCTAAACATAAACTGCCAATATCATTCATGTTTGTGATGTATATTTGAGATGCTTTGAACATACTATTTTATGAACTTCAATCGCAGACTGCATGAAATAGTACCTGCGATTGAATACATGCATAACTCAATTTTGAAACTAAAACAGTTTCATTACCCTATAGCATTAACCCATTACCCTGATATTGATCGTCCACGAAACCGAACATTCACTTCACTGTAGGATGTGTCTATATGTATACTAGTACCGCATTAAGTGCCTGGGCCCACTTGCACAAAGCGATCTTAGCGCTACAACTATTGTAAGCCTATGTTAAAGTATGGGAGTTATTATCATCTTAGCACTAAGATCTCTTTGTGCAAGTGGGCCCTGTTCAGTTTAAAGAACAAAATATGCATTTCAATATCTCAAACATGGACTATGTAATTATTATTCAGAGAACATCTCCACACTTTTAGCCGTACCTTGATGTTGGTAGTGAATGGCAGCAAAGTCAATGATGACTCGACTCAAGTTACTCCCTTGCAGGTGTACGATGTCTCCAACAACCTGCTGGTATCTCTGTCTGGTTCACACAATGGCTACACAGTCCCGTCGTCCACCTACTACCGTGTGGAATTTACAACAGATAGGTCGATAGGATCTTCCGGCTTCAGAGCTGTATGGAGATGTATGTACTTTCACACACAGACTATAAAATATGTTACGTCTATATCACTATGTCACATCGTGTTACGTCTATGTCACTATGTCACTTCATGTAACCTCTATGTCATTATGTCACTTCGTGTTACGTCTATATCACTACGTCACTTCGTGTTACGTCTATGTCACTATGTCACTTCGTGTTACGTCTATGTCACTATGTCACTTCGTGTAATCTCTATGTCATTATGTCACTTCGTGTTACGTCTATATCACTACGTCACTTCGTGTTACCTCTATGACACTATGTCACTTCGTGTTACGTCTATGTCACTATGTCACTTCGTGTAACCTCTATGTCATTATGTCACTTCGTGTTACGTCTATATCACTACGTCACTTCGTGTTACGTCTATATCACTATGTCACTTCGTGTTACCTCTATGACACTATGTCACTTCGTGTTACGTCTTTGTCACTATGTCACTTCGTGTAACCTCTATGTCATTATGTCACTTCGTGTTACGTCTATATCACTACGTCACTTCGTGTTACGTCTATATCACTATGTCACTTCGTGTTACCTCTATGACACTATGTCACTTCGTGTTACGTCTATGTCACTATGTCACTTCGTGTAACCTCTATGTCATTATGTCACTTCGTGTTACGTCTATATCACTACGTCACTTCGTGTTACGTCTATATCACTATGTCACTTCGTGTTACCTCTATGACACTATGTCACTTCGTGTTACGTCTATGTCACTATGTCATTTCGTGTTACGTCTATTTCCCTATGTCTCTTCGTGTTACGTCTAAAACACTATGTCACTTCGTGTGGAATTTACAACAGATGTGTCGGTAGGATCTTCATAGCTGTATGGAGATGTATGTACTTTCACAAACAGAATATAAAATGTTTAGAATGTTATACATTAGATATTATGCATTTTTTATAGAAAATGCTAATATGTGGATCCTGGTAATAGTTTACAACTGCACAACCGTATGTCATGTTACGTCTATGCCACTATGTAACTTCGTGTTACGTCTATGTAACTGTGTAACTTCGTGTTACGTCTATATCAGTATGTCGACATATGTGGGGCGGTGGGGTAGCAAAGTGGTTGAAGGAGTTCGATCGTCACGCCGAGGCCCTGGGTTCGATTCCTCAGATGGGTGCAATGTGTGAAGTCCATTTCTGGAATCCCCACTGTGATAATGTTGGAATATTGCTTAAAACAGTGCAAAACTACACTCATCCACTCCAAATATGTATGGGTAGTATACCGAAATGATTCACTGCATGGAACCAGAGCGTCCTTACTATAGAGACGGTTGATGACATAAGAAAGTCATTATGTTACCATTCTAAAGTATAAACATAAGACAAAAGCTCTGATAACTCTATACACATTTCATGTAAACTATTATTGCTTGCTGTTGACTGTCAGAAAGAAGGTTATAGTGATCAGGTTAAAGGTTTAATTGATATGCATATTATTATGATGATACATGTATACTATTTATAGTATCAATAGTTGAATATGCTCACATAGTTTATTGTCACAGCTGCTCCTACGATATCTGGTTTACCTTCCACATACCGAGTGTACAAGTCAAGTAGATTGCGGCTAGACTGTAGTTCCTACACACGATCAACAGCAACACCTACATACAGGTGGACGAACAGAGGGTTAACTGTTAGCACTGGGGCTGTACTCAACATAGTCAACATCAACAAGAATCAAGCTGGACAGTACATCTGCACTGCCACGAACACAGTGGGGGCCGACTCAGCAGCTGTCAATGTGGTGGTACAATGTGAGTAGTAGTATGACTTAATGTAGCCTGCAAACACTGGTGGTGGTACAATGTGAGTGGCAGTGTGACTTATGCAGGTCGCAGACACTGGTGGTGATACAATGGGAGTGGCAGTGTGACTTATGCAGGTCGCAGACACTGGTGGTGGTACAATGTGAGTGGCAGTGTGACTTAATGTAGGGTGCAGACACTGGTGGTGGTACAATGTGAGTGGCAGTGTGACTTAATGTATGGTGCAGACACTGGTGGTGGTACAATGTGAGTGGCAGTGTGACTTTATGTATGGTGCAGACACTGGTGGTGGTACAATGTGAGTGGCAGTGTGACCTAATGTAGAGTGCAGACACTGGTGGTGGTACAATGTGAGTGGCAGTGTGACTTTATGTAGGGTGCAGACACTGGTGGTGGTACGATGTGAGTGGCAGTCACAAGAAAAAATACCCATATATACAAAATATACAATTTTGTATATTTGATATTTCCAAAATATACAATTTTGTATAGTTGGTATTTCCAAAATATACAATTTTGTATATATGGTTAGATTTTACCACTGCTTCATTCAATTTCCTCACCTCTTATAGAATGTTTCACATAATATGTGGTTGCAAAGTTTACTAATGATACCGAACAGTATAATTATTGCATGTGACAATAATGCTTTAATACTATTTTCATTATGACAACTATATGATGTTATGAAATAATTTGTATTTCGTTATGTTTTACAGATCTTAATAACAGTTTGATCAATATAAAATGCGTACGCCAGCAACAAGTAGTTGAAAGTAGTTTTAAACATTGATGTTTATCGTTCCAAAGCTCTGTTCTCCAGCTCAGTTCATCTTTGTTTACGAGAACGGTTTTAATATGGGCAATTTTCTTCTTTCGGGACATTGGAGCAGTCATAATATTCATAACATCATAAATATTAAGATTACAGGCAATTTTAACAACTTTAGTACTCCATGAACTTTTACATAGTAACCATTTTCTTCATCAAAGCGTTACAAGTACTGATATTAAATCTTGGGGTAGTCTAAAAACATTAGCATGTAATGTAACAAACGGGGAGGAGAGACCCATGTCTCCATTAGTGGCTATACTGGAGGTTCCGTTACTAACACCAAGAAATAATTTACCGGCTCTATTTTGGATTAGATTAACGTTTTATCCTCATATACCAGAGCCATAGAACATTACCGGCTCAGCAAGACTTTCATACAGTTTCATAAAAAACATCATAAGACATACACCCAACAGAATAAGACAAAGCATGGCTGGCAGAATTGTACAACTCTTTCACAGTTTCACATATCTAGATGCTCGTCAACCCGTAGTCCCAGATAACGATATGATTCTACATAGACCAGTGTTTGCCCAGCGTAGAGGAATCTGGTTAATCTGTATCACTTAACGAGTTTGAATAGCTTACTCTGCCCACAGTCGAGAGCAGCACAGTAATTAGTAGTTTAGACCAGGCGAATACACTGGTCACACTTGACTGGTCTGTCTGATGATTCGGTCACCTGCCAAATGGGATGTCTGACAATTGGGTGTGAACCTTACAGAGGAAGTTATTTTATGAATGCGTCACGTGTTTCAAAAGAGATGACCATTATCTAAGTGAAATACTTCTAAGATCATAAAGGACATAACATTTAATAAAGTGAAATTCATTTTCGACAAACTTTTATGAACAATTTTAAAACAATGCGGGCAGATTCTATTTTCTAAAAGGTTTGGGGGGTTGTAAATCGTCCTGTTTCGATCCAGATCTAAAACTAGCTAAAATGCGACGGTGGTCCCTGTATTTAAAACATAAGGAGCAACAACGTTACGATCATGAAAGTTATTAATGTATTGCCCTTAACGTTATGTTTATCGTTCCAAAGCTTTGTTCTCCAGCTCAGTTCATCTTTGTTTACGAGAACGTTTTTAATATGGGCAATTTTCTTCTTTCGGGACATTGGAGCAGTCATAATATTCATAACATCATAAATATTAAGATTACAGGCAATTTTAACAACTTTAGTACTCCATGAACTTTTACATAGTAACCATTTTCTTCATCAAAGCGTTACAAGTACTGTTATTAAATCTTGGGGTAGTCTAAAAACATTAGCATGTAATGTAACAAACGGGGAGGAAATACCCATGTCTCCATTAGTGGCTATACTGGAGGTACCGTTACTAACACCAAGAAATAATAACGGGCTCTATTGTGGATTAGATTAACGTTTTATCCTCATATACCAGAGCCATAGAACATTACCGGCTCAGCAAGACTTTCATACAGTTTCATAAAAAACATCATAAGACATACACCCAACAGAATAAGACAAAGCATGGCTGGCAGAATTGTACAACTCTTTCACAGTTTCACATATCTAGATGCTCGTCAACCCGTAGTCCCAGATAACGATATGATTCTACATAGACCAGTGTTTGCCCAGCGTAGAGGAATCTGTTTAATCTGGTTAATCTGACTGTTGGAATATTATCTATGCATTATCCTGTCTAAAAATCTAGATATATTTATAATATCATGTATGCATTTTTGAATCATTGTATTCCGGAGTGGTCTTCATATAAACTTCTTGACCAATCCGCTTCATGTACATTTTCAGAAAAACATAACATAACATGGGAATACCGTTCGAATTGAGCCTCGCTCAATTTCCCTGTGCGCTGTGATTTTTTATTTATTTTTTTTAAATGAAAATTTTACAGGGACTAGCTGTGCTACCACACATGTTAAACCATTTTTACAGTTTTGTCTAATTTTAGCGATAATGAAAACTGAGTAGAGATAAGATATATTGATGAACAACGTCTTTATTACAGTTAGGAGCGACGCTTAGGTGTATGTTGTAACACCATTATCAAGCAAGTGATGTTGTTCATCCACAGATCTTATCCTCTCTCAATACTCCAACTTCCAAATTCCTCGCAAAGAAGATAATGATACTTGTTTTGAATCTTGCCATCGTACAAAATATTCTTCGCACAGTATTCAAGAAACAATGTAATATTAATATCATACTACGCCATCAATATATGTTGTGCAATATTTGAGAGGTTGGCGCCTGTCGGGACGGTGTGAGATGCTAAAACTGTTCTTGTATAGTCTAGTATCCTTTGGCTAGTGACAGCTACCACTGTTTATTCCCATTCAAGTTGCTAACGGTGTTTCATCTAAACAGTATTATGGGAACGGAAATTAAAACATTACTTCATTCGTTATGCTACCATTTTTGAATATATGTCCATGAGATTAATCTGTTCATTTTTCCGTATTTTTATTACGGAACTTATAGCTTTGTGTGGCACAAACGATCAAATAGTAAGATGACTACAATTAAAGGGCATTAATAACGAGAGGCTGTTCACATATATGTACATCATATATGTATCACGCGAATCATTTCTGATTTTACTCGACATAAGAGCTAGAAACGTTACCTACTTCCGGCGCAGCGGTTCTAGATGTTGGCGCTATCTAGATTGGGTCCCTGACACATGCAGCTCTATTTGATGGGTGTATTGTACTTAATAAGCTGAACTTTTATAAATCTATTTTTTGCAAATATATACTGGTCACTCCAACTAATCATTGTTACTAAAATATATAGGATTGTTGTCTATAACGTGTCCATTCGTATGTCTGTTTTACGTCTGTTCTACTAATTATTGACACTAAGAAACTCGTACAATTTTTTAAATCATTACTAAACGTGTTGTACTTGTCTACATCTGAATTGAAAAGTGGGAGAAAAGTTGCTTACTGTATTTTGCCGCCTTTGATGGTTCTGATGATCAAGATGACAACGTCAAAATCTAAGTGTTCAGGAGACGATGAGGATTCAGGAGTTTTTGAATTGATGCAGAATCAAGGTTGGGGGTTATTATAGGCCTAATAGTGCACCACGTGATTTATGTCCAGGCCCCCGTGACATGCAGTTGTCATGTGACATGTAATTAACTAATTGAATTGCAAAAACAATTCCGACAGCAAATAACCGAATCCACAACAACAATGCGTGGATGCAAAGAAAGAAACCATTTTAAACCCCTTTCTGTATATTTGTATTTGTATTCCTTTCTGAAACTATCATTCTACAAACAGTTGTGTTCACCGCCCATTGTGATACTTCTTCTTAAGAAAATAAAAAAGGATGTTTATTTAGTCATTTGACATGCGTTCATTGTAAACAAGGATTAGTGTGAAAGGATTACTAAGTTTGTCATCCAGTATAATGCACTTCCTCGATTAGCATAATTAGAACAGAGTTTGTAATTAGTTATATCCTGACTCCAGTTAACCAAGGCAGCTACATCAGTTGTGATTTATGAATTTGTGGAATCTTAATGAAAATAACGACCGCCTGTCACAAAAATGCAAACGAACATTGAACACGCACAGTTGCAGATTTTCCTTTCGTACATTTGAGGGTGAACGTGAACGAAGCCGTGCAAGATGCTTTACAGCGATTTGTCTTCAGAACACATATTGAGTTCAGGTAAGTTTATTAATGATGATATTTTCATCCATTCATAGATATGGCGATCATGAGCGCTGACACTATATGTATTCGCAATAGAACATTTGGAAGACTAGACACAAATTGAGTCACAATATGACAACATCAAATCAAAGAATTTGTTTAATGCAACAGATTTAAGGCATTGAAATTGTACATTATTATAAAATACATGAGTGTCGCTACGTCTCATGTCAAATACATCAATGAATTCTTTATAAAAAAAATTAATTTAATATTACTATGAATTTATAGCTAAAATTATGGAGTCTTGCATGTCGAGCCAACAAACTATAGTACATATTATTCACCTTGGAATTTCTGTTTACTGTGCTCTCGCGGTGGGGTCAACCCTATTCCCAAAATGGACAGTTCCAAATACTACTGCATAAAATATTAATGCCAATTTGGAGAAAATTACCAAATGAATGAATGCAAGTAAAACTTAATCCAGGGAAAAAGAAAACTGTTCAATATCACGTCAAAGTGTGCCCAAGTGCAAAACCTAATCTTAAAATGAAAGGACTTTGGTATTAATATTTCAGTCAGATTATGATATTGGCGAGTTAACGAGGTAAGCCCTATGATTAATTGTCTTAAATACCTTTTTGGTGTCCACCGCCGTGAACCATACTCAATCACTCAGATAAATAACCCCTTTTACATAAGTCATGATATATATATTGCCAATATTTTGCTCCCATGTTTTGGATAATTGTACCAAAGAAAAAGAATTAATCCTAGAATGTCTACACATTAATTCATTACGGACGCTGAAATAATGCCGATGAGACGTTAATTTTTACCTCGCCCACTCACTGATTACGGACTATTTGTGGGCCAATAAGAGGTACAAGCCACGTGAAAATGTAGAGTGAGACCAACGTAGCCATTACACCTTTTTACAAGATGGAAAACATCTTTGCTGCTAGTGATTACATATAAAGAAATCTAACCAATTCACAGGCTATACGTTGTAGAACTGAATGCAAGTCATTCCTACCTGATACCATTAATAATTGGAATAGTCACCGGAAAAAGAGGATTATTAAACTTAGACAATGTTATATTCAGTTAAGCCATGATACCAGATTTTGTCACTTTAAACTTCCACCGGCTTAAAAAACACATCTCAGATAACACATCATGCATGCTCTTGTGGCTGTCACAATTGTACACTGCATTAATTTTTACACATGCCCCAACTACAATATATTTAGAAACGATTCTATTCTAAAGGTTAAGTGAGTTTCTAATCAGTGGTTTATTGGAAACAATTTGAACAGTGCCTAATTTAGCTATTTTGAAATCGGCCATGTACATCCGACGTTCGGGTGGATTTGCACATATATAATAACTAGTAGTAAGACTTAATACATACTTTTAGACACGTATTAAGTATTAAAGAGTTAAATAACTTTTCTTAGGAAACCCCTTTCCATCAACCGCACTGTTGACCTATCTTTTTTGTTCTGTTTTGATGTATTGATGTATTATTTAATACAATATGTATATCTCCCCTCATCCCAATGTTAATAAAAGGAAGCTTGGTGGGGACTTTTGGGATATAAGAAATGAATACAGACTGCCATATTGTCTGAATGTCTTAACAATCACCGGGTGTGACCACGTAGACAGGATATCATTCGGGTTTCTCATAATTACTCCATGAGCATGCTTGGTATTGTAGCTTAGGGATATTAAATGTAAGTTTGTTATCAGAGGAGATTGATAGTGAACTTTTAGTACCAGTTAGATATGATATCTATATGACTTCTTTCTGTTTGACAAAGGATTAAGGGTATATGTGTGGGTAATCCTTCCACGCTGATGAAAGAAAGTCACTCTACTAGTTCATGTAATCTACGTCAAATAAGATCAGAACACATGCATTATTACAACATACTCAGGATACCAATAACAACGAAATGTACAAATTAACAAACATGATCAATATTATTATTACATGTTAATGCCATGTATGTAAATATAGCTATATAAACATATGTTTAATTTTTCAGCTTGTGTGAAGTCGTCCATAAATACAAGAAAACGTATATTTTCCCAAAATTATATTACCCTCAAAAGGGCAATTATATTCATGTTACATTTTTTCAGTCTCTTTTTTAATTCGAATGACGTAACATTTATGTTACTTTGATTTTATTAGACCCATGTTGTTGTTACAGACCCAGGGATTGACTAGGTTCATTACATGTCATAAAAGTGCCGGGACATAATATGGTGGCAATACATTCTCTAATTAACACCTGTCACAAAGGGACGGGCAATTTGGGTTTGTCCTCAGGGAATGTGTTATGCAATTTGTGTATTCACGAAATAACATTCAACAAATTATGTACATGGTCCTGTGATGTAGGATTGATGCATTCGTACTTTTTATGAATATATGAATTGCATTTTTTTTCTTAACCGTGTGCGAAATACGCATAATGTCGGAAAGCGCAAGTTAAATACTGACTTCATCCCAAAATAAATCACAAACCCTCTCTTATAATTTGTATATTATTCTATATTTTAATTATGTAAATCACGTTCCTGTCACTTTTAAAGTAGAATACGTTAGTCACTCAACCAATTCCATTATTATTTTCCCAAAGATCAAAGATTAAAGCAGTTATCAAGATTTATTTTCCATATCTTTAAAAATACTTAATCTTTACATTGAAACTGCCATCATGATGTATTATTATTATTATTATTTTTACTATTATTATTGATGTATATATGGTTTGCACCCAACCATGCGCGTGCCAAATTATACAGCGTCAAGCTTTTAGAGCGCCAACTAAGTTTTCCAAAGTAGAAATTAAGCCAAATGAATATATATCAAGTTTCCTTTTGCTAGAACATATGCATGCTGTTGTGTTTTTTCAAGGTAATCTTCGTTCTCGCATTGATAACAATATTTAAAGAACAAGTATTATAAAATATAATACGGGAATATATTACACACGTTATATAATTTACGCATCCGGTTGCTCATAATACAATTTTCCCCAAGGACTACCGTTTTACAAAACGCGATTTTCCGCGTTTCCGCCGAGATTTCACATTATAACAATGTATATCTACAATGAAACCGACAGCTCAGAACAAACCAAATTCAACACTTTTAAGTAGTGATAAAATAGTTTTCATCCTCTGTGCAATCCACTCTGTTGGCATATGTGCACGAGAGCATGTTACAAAACACATCGCGGCCTCCCCGTAAAACAAATCCAAGCTCAAACACTTTCAATACAGAAGTTACCGCCAAAGCAATCGCCCCCGACAGCTAATCCCCTCTGTGCATTTGACCATAAAGTCTACTCACATACCAAGCACCGCGCCAGGAAAAGTACCAGACGCCTCAACCGCCCACCCGTCAATATCATTGCAAGGACAGTATGTACTCCCGCTAACAGTGTGGAGTACTAATTAAACCTTCCAGTAATGTCCCCCCCACTAAATCAGTTTTTTTGTAACTTGCTGATACTATTTTGCACATACAAAACATTTATAGAGCAATACATAGCAATTATCCTCCTTTACCAACATATACAAAGAAACACAGTGCTCAACTTAAAACACTTCAATTTGCACATATATCATAATTATACACAAATACATAATAATTATCTCCCTTTACCAATATATACAAACAAAACAAATTTGGATACACCATATATACAAATTTGTATATTTTGTATATGTCATATATACAAACTTGTATATTTTGTATATATCATCTTTCCAATCTTGTATATCCTTTGGAAATATCATCTTTCCAAAGGATATACAAGCTTGTATATATGGATTTTTTTTGTAGTGTAGTGTGACTTAATGTTGGCTCCAGACGCTGGTGGTGGTACGATGTATATGCTCTTGTTTAGGGTAACATGCACCACTTATGTGTAATTGGTATCGCCAAACATCCTGATCAAATAGATTAGTTGTTACAAAAACACATGGTCGTTGATGTGTCGCCTGTAGCATGCACACCACGAACAAGTGTATTTTGGGTTATAAAAAACGTATTATGAAGTCCAGTGATTAATTGTTGCACATGTCCTGGGGAAGCTGTGTGACACTGTTGGTGGTACAATTTGAGTGGCAGTGTGACTTTATGTACGGTGGAGACACTGGTGGTGGTACGATGTGAGTGGCAGTGTGACTTATTGTAGGGTGCAGATGTATATGCTCTTGTTTAGGGTAACATGCACCACGTATGTGTAAATGGTATCGCCAAACATCAGGATCAAATAGATTAGTTGTTACAAAAACACATGGTCGTTGATGTGTCGCCTGTAGCATGCACCCCACGAAAAAGTGTATTTTGGGGGGTTACAAAAAACGTATTATGAAGTCCAGTGATTAATTGTTGCACATGTGCTGGGGAAGCTGTTAAGATATTTTGTGCTCACCGATAACCTCGGATCTAAGGATGCTTATTATATATATGACAATTTAGTTGGAGACATTGTGATATGTTCAATCTTTTGAAGCGTGTTTGCGATTTCCTATGTGCAACCGTCACCATTATGAACACTGCTCTTTGTTTGCAAAACATTATTTAATAGGAACTGAATTAATAAACTTATAATAACCTTTCATTTGGTTCAAATTATGATTATGTTAATGTCGAAACACGCTCATGAAAGCACAAACACATTTTTTCTTCCTAGAAATATATTTTCAATGTAGAAATTGGAAGCATTTGAAAAACCAGAACATCTTTGCATCCGTAATATCTGGCCTCCCACCCACGCACCAAGTCAGTGAGTCGGCTACTTTAAGACTGGACAAGCAACAACCTACACTTGGTCACATGGAGGGTCATCTGTCGGTAGAGGAGCTGTACTGACAAGAAGCAACATCAGTAGGAGTCAGGGAGGGGAGTACACCTGTACTATCGGAAACACAGTAGGATCAGACTCTGCCTCCATCAACGTAACCATACTATGTAAGCATATTTCGTTTACTTCTTTTCGAGGCAGGGTAGAGGAAATTGTGATATGTTCACTCTTGTAAACCTTATTTGCAATGTCCTATGTGTAACCATCCCCATAATGAACACTGCTCTTGGTTTGCACAACATTACTTGATGAGTAATTTGTAAATTAGGACCAATCATTATATATTAACTATAAGAGTACTTGGATTTATGAACCAATAACAACCTTTTATTTGGTTGAAATTAAGATTATGTTAATGTCGAAACACACCCATACAAGCACAAACACATTGTTTCTTAGAAGAAACGTATTTTTCACTGTAAAGATTCGAAGGATTTGAAAAACAGGAACATCTTTGCATCCGTAAATCGAAATGGGTCTTGAGCACTGTTGTTAACACTTCTTGCTTGTAGATTCACCTGAAATATCTGGCCTCCCATCCACGTACCAAGTGACTGAGTCAGCTACTTTAAGACTGGACTGTAGTTCACACACAACACAGGGCAACCCACAAGCAACAACCTACACTTGGTCACATGGAGGGTCATCTGTCAGTAGAGGACATGTACTGACAAGAAGCAGCATCAGTAGGAGTCAGGGAGGGGCGTACACCTGTACTGCCAGAAACACAGTGGGATCAGACTCCGCCTCCGTCAACGTAGACGTACGATGTAAGCATATTTCGTTTACTTCTTTTCCATGCATGGCAGAGGGAATTGTGACAGGTTCAATCTTTTAAACTGTATTTGTAATCTCCTATGTGTAACCATTATCATTATGAACTGCTCTCTTGGTCTGCACATTTATTAATAAGTAATTTCTAAATAATCATCACTCGTTATATTTTCTAATCGAAACTGTATTAACAAAAGCAATAACAAATGATTTGGTTAAATACTCGAACACATGTTGATCTGTCAACACAACCATGATAGTTGTTGACTCTTCGTGTTTGCAGACTCTCCTGAAATATCTGGCCTCCCATCAACGTACCAAGTGAATGAGTCAGCTACTTTGAGACTGGACTGTAGTTCATATACAACACAGGGCAACCCAAAAGCAACAACCTACACTTGGTCACATAGAGGGTCATTTGTCGGTAGAGGAGCTGTACTGACAAGAAGCAGCATCAGTAGGAGTCAGGGAGGGGAGTACACCTGTACTGTCAGAAACACTGCTGGATCAGACTCTGCCTCAGTCATTGTGGATGTCCAGTGTATGGATCACATTGTGCTACTCCTGTGATTAAGTTGTAATGAAGATAAACGAAGTCAATATTCATAATAAACTACAAAAGCACTCTGAGCTATTTATGTGAATGTTCCGTGTTGTTTTCACAAACACAAACAAACCCCCAATATCCAGCTCTCCCAACAGACACTGTATCCACTAGACCACAGAGACCTGACAGATTAGAAAGGTAGACCAAAATCAGGTGTTTTCGAACAAATTTGCATCTGTGCACAGATCAGAAGTTGAAAATAAATATATACTTTTGGATTGAAGTTAGGAAGTTATTTATTTTCAAACTGAATGTTTTCAATGATTAGATGTCCCTTCAATATCTGGTCTCCCGTCTACTCTTTGTGTGGTGGAAGAATCACAACTGTGGATCAACTGCAGTAACTACACTTCACCAGGCAACCCGGCAACAACTAACTACACATGGAGCTATGGACAATCAGTGTTCAGTACTGAGGAAGTACTTCAAATAGACGACGTTAACAGAACTGAAGGAGGACAGTACACTTGCACTGTCAGCAACCTTGTTGGGTCGGAGTCTGCTTCTGTCAGCGTTGACGTACAATGTGAGTGTTTTATTGACCCAAAGCACTCAAAATGATCCTTGTGACAAGGTGTATTTGTTTTGGACTAAATTATTGCTTATACTCTCTGCAAACTTTGCATATACACACAAAACACCCCGTCTTTACAATCAAAGACTAAGAACATTATGATGTTGCCCTGTGATAGTACATGGACATACAAGTAAGTAAGAAAGTACTTGTGTTTCTGCTACAGGTAAAGCTATGTGTGTATGGACATGTCTAAGCTTACCGCATGGCTTTGTCTCCACAGACGCTCCACTGACATCTGGGTTTCCTTCGACGTACCGAGTAACTGAGTCATCTAGTCTCAGGATAGACTGTAGCAATTACACCACAGCAGGGAATCCTCCCAGTACAAGCTACATGTGGACCTATGGCGGTTCTACTGTCAGTACAGGGGCGGTTCTTGCCAGAAGGAACATCAGCCCTGACCAGGGAGGACAGTACACCTGCATTGCCAGCAACACTTTGACACCATACGTAGGGACTCCACGACAAGGCATTGCAACAGCACAAATCAATGTGGATGTTCATCGTAAGTCTTTTTTTTGATAATGCTGCAGATGTGTGTCAAATACATTTTGACATTCACAAGTTCCTACATATTCCAGTTATTTTCATATAAGTATATACATGTATGTATGCAAGTTTGTTTATTCATTTATGTGTTTATGTGTATAGGTAGTATGGGTAGGGTTTTCGTTCGTTCGTTCGTTCGTTCGTTCCTTTGTTCCCTTGTTCGTTTGTGAATGAGTGAGTGAGTATGGTTTTACTTGGGTGTTATACTTGAAGCCAGTGGCAAATGGTCTTGTCATATAGATACCATAATTGAAACAACTTCGAAGATGATTTACTCAATGAGAAAACTGAAACATCTACTTCAAGGAAATACTATGAACAATATATATACAATTTTCATAAGACCACACTTTGAATACGCATGTGAGGTTTGGGATGGTTGCACCGAAGGACAAAGTGAGAAATATAGATCAATTACAATTAGAAGCTGCACGCATTGTAACTGGTCTACCTAAATATGCCCCCAGGCATTCATTATATTACAAAACCGGTTGGGAACCCTTAGTTGAGCGTAGAAAGAAACGTAAACTTTGTCTTTTCTTCAAAACTAATCATAACATGGCCCCTTCCTATCAAACAGATATTCTACCCAAAACCGTTGCTGCAAAAAACTCATACATTCTCAGAAACTCTGAAAACATCAGTGTTCCTCTCACAAGCCTAAGACATTCGTGTGAATCCTTTTACCCATCGTCTATCCGATTGTGGAACTCTATTCCGTTATCAGATCGAAATTCTACGATTTCTTGTTTTAAAAATTCGTTACAAAAGCACCACCCCACGTCACCTGCGTACTTCGCTTATGGAAAAAGAAAATATAATATCTTACACACAAAACTGAGATACATGTGCAGTCAATTGAATTATGATTTATATAGAATTGGTATAAAAGATCACCCGAACTGTACATGTTCGAATACATGTGAAAATGCATATCAGTATCTCATGGAACGTACATTGTTTAGTCATCAGCGTGAAGTTTTGTTAAATAGCCTTAAAACTATTGTTCATAACATACCTGTATATGTACACTTACTGTTATACGGCAATGCAGATCAGGTTGTTACAGAAAATGAAAAAAATCTTTAAGGCAGTACAACATTATATATGTACAACTAAAAGATTTGTGTAAAGAACTGTTCATTTAACAATGTATATATATCTCTCTCTCTCGCTCTCTCTCTCTCTCTCTCTCTCTCTTTTTTCTCGCTCTCTCTCTCTCTCTCTCATATATAGTGTTGTATGCATATATATTGAATTTGAAATTGTGAATTTTTTTGTAAATACCATGGAGAGGGCATTCTAAGGTGGAAGAACTTGTCCCCCAATCCCATTCACTCCTTGTGAATACATATGTTGAAATCATTAAATCATGGTTTTACGCCGCTTTTAGCAACATTCCAGCAATATCACGGCCGGGAACACACATTGTACCCATGTCGGGAGTCGAACCCGGGTCTTCGGCGTGACGAGCGAACGCTTTAACCACTAGGCTATCAGGCCACCCCTCGTTTTTGAAATAGTGTGAGTGAGTGAGTTGGGTTTAACGCCGCTTTTAACATTATTCCAGTTATATCATGGCGTGTCAGCTTAATGTGGGAGGAAAGCCCGAAGTGATGCAGGTCTTAGATGCTTACCGCTTCGGTGAAACCCACGAGCACGGGTATGGTGCAGACAAACCTAGAAACATAATCGGGGTGAACGGGGATTCGAACCCACAACCATAGGTTTCTGGCGTGTCCAAGGGACGCAACTTTGCACAGCGAATCGCGGCGCCTTAGACGACTGGGCCACCCGTTCCCCCCGTTTTTGAATGAGTGAATGAACAAGTTTGATATCAACTTCCCCTTTCATCACTTCGGAAACTTAAAGCAGACTAGCTGTGACGTCAATGCATGTGTGGGTGTAGAAGTGACTGCGTGTTATAGTCCAAAGTGCCATCTTTTAATGCCCTGTCACATCAGAGGTGGTCAACATTATAGATGGGGCACTGGTGGCCCAGTCTTCTTTTGCGCCGCGATTCGCTGTGCAGAGTTATGTCCCTTGGGCACGCCAGAAACCTTTGATTGTGGGTTCGAATCCCAGTTCACCCCAATTATGTTTCTAGCTTCGTCAGCATCATGCCTGTGCTCGTGGCTTCCACCGAAGTGGTAAACGTCTGAGACCTGCATCACTTTGGGCTTTCCTCCCACATTAACCTCACAGACGGTGATATAACTGGAATAATGTTAAACGTGGCGTTAGACCCAGCTCACTCACTCACTCAGTCACTCACTCACTCACATAATGGAAGTGCAGATTAAGAAAAAGTGTTTTCCAAGCTTTCTGCAACCGAGCAAAGGTTTGAAGTGAATAATAAATATACGCTTATATTTAGGTAATGAAGTAATTATTTCTAATCGAATATTTCCAATGAACAGATGCCCCTTCAATATCTGGTCTCCCGTCTACTCTTTGGGTGGTAGAAGAATCCCAACTGTGGATCAACTGCAGTAACTACACTTCACCAGGCAACCCGGCAACAACTAACTACACATGGAGCTATGGACAATCAGTGTTCAGTACTGAGGAAGTACTTCATAGACAACATTAACAGAACTGAAGGAGGACACTACACGTGCACTGTCAGCAACCTTGCTGGGTCAGAGTCTGCTTCCGTCAGTGTCGACGTACAATGTGAGTGGTTTATGGACACCAGGAACACTTTGTGATCTTGAAATTAATGTTAATTTGTATTGGACCAAACTCTTACGATGTAACCTGCAACCTTGGGGTATCGCGGTACTTGTTATGTACGCTTAACAGAGAAAAATGCACCCACTAAACCTTATGTTTATTCGTGTTCTCTATCAGATGCCATCTATTTTATCTAACTGTGCATATTTTACTGATAAAAGTTCATTATTTACATTAATTGCGCCGAGTAAAAGCCGAGCCTCGCGCTCAGTTTGACAAGGGAGAGGACTCCTTCGGATCATGGTGCAGGGAAAAGTTGTGTATGGAGAACAACAGGACCTACATCAACCAACAACTAAGTATGATAATGCCAGACTTCAGTGATTTGTCCAGACAAGTGCAAAGACAGCCTACGTACAATTCTGAATGTGTTATCAGTTATTGGTTTTCAATGCATATTGTAGTATAAAAGTAAGAAAACAATATTTTTAACAACACCAAATATCAGAAATTATATTTTAAGATTCATGATTAAAAAAATGGATGATAATAATTTGTCGGAAAAATAGAAAAATGATGAAAGTAAACAATAAATATAAATATACGGCACTCCTTGTATACCAAAAGCGTATTTATCATTTGGCTACTGGTGAAGAACGTACATGTATTTCTAAGTATGGCATTATCACCCTTATGATCTCCTAAAAGATGCTGGTCACAGAGCGGGGGAAAAGTGTGCGGAAGACGTAACTTTCGTTACCTTATTAGTCGCCACGAATATGCAGATGATCTAGTTCGGGTTGATACAGAAAGTTTACTTGGGTCACTGCGGGTTATATCGTTGGCCATTGAAAGATTGGGTTAAGGCAATATTAAAAAGATGTAAGTATCAAAGCGTTGATAACTCCCTACTTACAGCAGACGGAACACTTCTATTAAACTGAAATTGTTTACGAAGAGAACACTTCCTGGTTCCTGATTCACATTAATAGACAGCCGCTAAGAGACGTGTCCTGCGTGAACTACCGGAAATCACAATTGACACGGTACGATGAATGCCGTGGTACAACGGGGTCCGAGTTTATTGATTAAGATTCCTGGCCATCATGTTCCAAAAGAATAAGATATATGAAGAAAATTATAATGTAAAGTTGATCTTGAAATAGTGATACTGCATGAAAATACATTGTTATTCTTAAAACAGCTACAAGTAATAATCTGTTTAAGATGTGCCATCTATATCTGGCTTTCCCCCAATCTTCCGGGTGATCGAGTCTTCAAGATTGTGGATTGACTGTGGAGCATACACCACGCATGGACATCCAGCAGTAACACGCTATTCTTGGACCTTCAATGGTTCCCAAGTCAGTGCCAGTTCTCTGCTTGGAATAGACGGCATCAGTAGAGGCCAAGCAGGACAGTATACCTGTACTGTTCGCAACACTCTGACACCAAGTGGAGGATCTGAACAGCAAGGAGAAGCAACAGCCAAGGTTAACGTTGACGTGCAGTGTGAGTTACTCCGTGATGTACCAGAGCAATAGACACACTTACTTATAAGTCCATCTTTTCTTTCCTTTTACCGGTATAAATTCACTCTTTGTTATTTTGATAATAGACAGAACGTGCAGGAAAGTGAATTTAACGGTATGTATTCACTTCTGTTAATATATTATCACTGAGAAAATATCGTGTGTACATGTGAGATGTGGTGCTAGGATACTTAGACAAGAAATAGGCATATCCGTGGACACCAATTGTGGCCCTGTAGCCTTGGGGTCGGCATGTGGGGTACAACTTTCAGTTTTTAGGTATCAGTGCCAAACATTACGTACAGTGCTATTCCTTATCTTGACTTGAATCATACGTGTATTTGTTACGATATGCCACATTTCTCGCAAACATCTGGTATCATCACTCTTTGATAGTGATCCATACACACATGCGCAGAGACGGAATCCTATATAAAACTTTAAAGCTAAGATTTCTAATGATTATGAAAGGGTTTCGTTTTTGCTATTTAACCAAACATATGACTATCGTGACAAACTGAAACAGGTGCAGCTGCGAGGGATAACAATTGTTGTCGACCCAACACAATATTTACTTTTTAACTTTAATTCATAACACACACACACACACACACACACACACACACACACACACACACACACACACACACACACACACACACACACACACACACACACACACACACACACACACACACACACACACACGTACACGCACACACACACACACACACACACACAAACACGCACACACACACACACACATACATGCTGTATGTTTTGTCACACACACACACACACACACATTACACACATATGCTGTATGTCTTGTCAGACCCGCCAACACTTACCGCATTACCGTCAACGCGGAGAGTCACAGAGATGTCCACATTACGTATAGACTGTCACAGTGCCTCTACACCAGGAAACCCATCAGTGACAAGCTACACATGGACATATAACGGTTCTAGCGTCAGTAAGGAGGCTGTGTTGACTGTGTACAATATCAGCAGGAGTCAGAAGGGGGAATATGTATGCACAGCTAGTAACACTCTGACCCCAAGTGGAGACGCTCAACGGCAGGGTACAGTCGACATACATATCAATGTTGAAGTCGAGTGTGAGTATACGTGACATCATTTCATTGAAAGGTGGGGAAAATAAACTGACGTGGATGTACGCTGACACTAACATTAGTAATATCTTATGGCAGTAACACAGCTTAGCAAATATATCTTATTGCCGTAGTATCTTATAGCTGTTATGTCGTATTGCCTTTTAATGTTACCATAGTTGTCTAGACATATTTGCTATCTTTATTTATTTATTTCTTAAAAGGTATTGAATTTATTATATAACTACAAAACTATTACAGGCTAAAATCACAAATACACATACAATAATCAACTAACAAATTTGTGTTTTTGTAATATACCATGCCTGACGATTATATTTATGCTTGGACACAACAGCTTTATATTTTATCAGCTTATAACACACACTACAACTACTCACCAACATCATAAATCAATGAGTCAGTCATTGTTCTGTACAATTTGATTGAATTATACATGGACGGAATCCATTAGGCAATAGCCCGATCCCCTTTACAGTTCCCCCTTCAATATCCGGACTCCCGTCTACTCACTGGGTGGTGGAAGAATCACAACTGTGGATCAACTGTAGCAAGTACACCTCACCCGGCAACCCGGCAAAAACCAACTACACATGGATCTATGGACAGTCAGTGTTCAGTAATGAGGAGGTTCTTCAAGTAGACAGCATCAACAGGACCAAGGCTGGACAGTACACCTGCACTGTCAGCAATGTTGTTGGGTCGGAGTCAGCTTCCGTCAGTGTTGATGTACAATGTGAGTGTTTAACTGACTCAAAGCTCACACCTTTTGTGAAACATGCCACCACACAACATACATTATCATACCTCCATGTCAGAATGATGTAATCTGATTGGTCCACGTTATGTTAATAAAATACTATGTATCAAGCCTTGGAGGGAAATAAATTTCTCAGCGGGGAATAAATCCCGTATACCCCACCACGAGCTGAACGTGGATTTCTGAGAGATCTAGCTGAATCAAAGCTCACACTCTGATGATTTTATTACACACGCCATCATATAATGTCTAATGTCTCATATATTGTGTTATCATATACAATCTCACGTCAACAGATGCACCATCTCTATCTGGCTTCCCGTCTTCCTACCAAGTAGTTGAAGACAGTGATCTCTGGATCAACTGTAGGAACTATACTTCACCCGGCAACCCTAGAACAAGCAACTACACATGGAGCTATGAGGGATCTGTGTTCAATGCCGTGGCTGTTCTTCAAGACCGTGGCATCAACAGAACTGCAGGAGGTCTAAACACATGCACAGTTAACAACGAAGTCGGTTCAGATTCAGCCACAGTCAATGTCATTGTACAGTGTGAGTTGAGATACCTATCACGATACAATAATCACTGTGTACTTGTAACACAGCAACCCTCAGGTAATGACATAGTCATGCTCATAGGATTCGTTTGTTTGTTTGTTGTTTAACACCACACTCGGCAACGTTCTGGCTTGATGACGGTGGCCTGTAAATAATCGAAGGTGGACCAGATAGTCTGGTGATTGACGTCATGAGCATCGACAAGCGAATTGGTGCACAATGAAATGCATCAACAAAGTATGACTACAAAATCCCGTTTGTGACCTCTTACGACAAGCATTGGTTGCTGAAGACCAATTCTAACCCAGATCTTTACGGTTGTTATGAAAGCATGGATTGCTGAAGTCCAATTCTTACCCGGATATTCACAGAGGAATACAATAAAATGACATCAGTAATGTTACTTTCTAAACTCCAAGAAGACATACATGAACAGAATCAAATACGCCCTTTGTGTATAAATACCCAGTACAAAGTGGCTGCCAAGTTAATCGAAACAAGATAGTATATATCTAAACAGAAGTGCATGTGTTCATCTGTTAAAAAAAGTACAACAACCATCCTTCTGAATTTCAAAATGTGAGAATTCCTTGTTAAAGAAGTAACGCACAAAAAGAGTAAACATTCTTTGTCATCATTGTAGCCTTTCAGAACAGACAATTCGTTATTTTAACAGATGCTCCTTCTTTGTCTGACTTCCCATCGTCTCACGGAGTGATAGAGGCATCCAGAGTGTGGGTAGACTGTAGCAGCTACATCGTCCAAGGACACCCTCCGACAAAAACTTCACTTGGACATTGAACAGTTCTGTCATCAGCACCAGTTCTGTGTTGGAAATACACAACACCAGCAGGAATCAGGGAGGGCAGTACACCTGTACAGCTTATAACACTCTCACACCAAGTGAAGGACCTCAACAGTTAGGCTCAGCTACAGGACAGGTTTTACTGGACATACTGTGTGAGTCTTGGTGTTAATGTATGGTATATGTATTGTAGAGGTGTTAAATAGAGAATCTGTTAATTATTCATCATCAGTTTACCGAAAAATAAACATCAATGTCATCCTGATACAATATGGGACAAAGCACATATATCGACAAATATGCAATATGGATGAGCGTTCAAACTCTCTGAAATAATGAACATAAAGTTGTGATGTCATACCAGTACGATACATTTGGTCTTTGTTTCCACTGTTTAAAATCTGCCTTATTGTGTTCAGTATGACATCACATGTTCAGTGAAGACAGCGTGTATAAATAGTGTCGATTTCGTAACTTATGTATACATTCTACATGAATGTATTTCAAATTGCGTGGCTCAATTGTAAAACATGTTATTATTTCCAGACCCACCAACTATCTCTGGGTTACCATCAGTGATGAACGTCACGGAGTTCTCTTCATTCAGTGTGGACTGCAGCAATGTAACTACCCCGGGAAACCCAGGAGGCACAAACTACACATGGACACACAATGGTTACACTGTCAGTTCAGAGCCACAGCTTGTACTAGAGAGCATGAGTAGGAACCAGAGTGGACTGTACACCTGTACAGCCAGCAACATGCTCAGACCAAGTGGAGGCAGGCTACAACTGGGGACAGCAAGCGAACCTGTTAGTGTCGATGTGCAGTGTGAGTTTGGAAGAATATATTTTTGCAATTAATATTTATTCATTTCGTAATGCCACAATATTCAATACTCCAACTGATATCATTGCTCCCTGTGATTATCCAGTCATGACCAGACAAACAAGTGATTGGCATCGCCAACAACCTGCAACGATGTCAGGGTACGATGACATAGAATCAACCATGTCACCAAGCCTGACCACCCTGTCTATTCAGTCGCTTCTTGCGACAAGAACATGTAGGTTGCCCGGAACCTTTTCTTATCAGAAATTTTCTGAATCTTCTTTTAAACTGTTCAATGTATCTCCCATTTTTGTTGATTCTTGTACTAAAATGTTTTCATTTTTCCTTTAAGATGGTCCCAGGAATAGCGTAACTATTTCACCATCAGGATCACTGAGTATGGTTGAGGGAACCGGTGCTTTCACTGCCACCTGCACTGCCGAGTGTAACCCAAGCTGCACTATAACATGGAGGAAAGACAACATCCCCTTGGCAGGCCAGATGAGTCTCAGCAATGTGTCCAGAACAGACCAGGGGGACTACACCTGTCAGGCACAAAACGGCATTGGGGACTCTCAGGAAAAGAACATCAGACTCACTGTATACAGTACGTAACTTTCACAAGACAATAAGGTAGAGAAACATATGCTTTAATCCGAAAACGTGCTAGTGTGTTTTTTTCTGGATTGTCTTGGACATCACTGGGCAGTCTGGTCCAGACTAGAATGTTTACAGGCTGCCGTTGTATGGCATGAGTACTGCTGGGCGGCGTTAGGTAACAAACACATACTTTATATGCAACTTTGTGAATGGCGGGTGCTGACGTTAGAGCAGGCCATGCTTTTCCTCTTCACAAACACTTGTTTTGTGATCCATTCATATAACTGTCGCCAGTATTCTGCCTTTTACTTCCAATATAATCTGTTTCGGGAGATAATCAAGACTGAGTAATCTGTGGCGTTTTATATTTAAAATATATAATAGGGCTTCTTGTGGTAATAATCGTGAAGGTATTCTTGAGTCCACATTTCCTCAGTCTGGTCAATGTTCGGGAATTATGTCATTCATCTATCACATTATTCACCCTAGGTAACCATTTATCATTGACGTTATGTTAACATGGTAGGTATGAGATAATGCCAAATATATAATAAAGCTGCTAAAATTAATATTGTCGTAAATTTCAGTGAAGCTGCAATCAGTTGTTCTCAAGTATATTGCCCCCGCCCTCTGTACCCATAGACTTCCAGGTGGCTGCTGTTACTGATACATCCATGTCATCTTTATTTCAGCCCCGCCCTCTGTACCCACAGACTTCCAGGTGGCTTCTGTGACTGATACATCCGTGTCATCTTTATTTCAGCCCCGCCCTCTGTACCCACAGACTTCCAGGTGGCTTCTGTGACTGATACATCCATGTCATCTTTATTTCAGCCCCGCCCTCTGTACCCACAGACTTCCAGGTGGCTTCTGTGACTGATACATCTGTGTCATTTTCATTTCAGCTCCACCCTCTGTACCCACAGACTTCCATGTTGTTGTGACTGATACATCTGTGTCATCTTCATTTCAGCTCCACCCTCTGTACCCACAGACTTCCAGGTGGCTGCTGTGACTGACACATCTGTGTCTCTACAGTGGACCTCCAGCTTCGACGGTGGGGCTGACCAGACGTTCACTCTCCTGTACAAGTCGGACTTGGAGTCTCATTGGTTGACATGGAACGACAACATAGCCGATACAGGAAGTAGTCATCACGTCAGTGTGCACATCCCAGGACTGACACCTGCCGTGACGTACCACTTCCAGTTGTATGCTACTAATGTCTATGGTGAAGGGGAGATAACAGTGTTAAATACAACAACCACACTATGTAAGTGACACCAAGGACAATGGCTTATCAAGGCTATATTTTATCAAACAAACAATGGTATTGTGTTAAACGTTGTGCATTTATTGCTTCTGGAAAAGTAATGATTTCTTGTGACTGCTAGTTAGCGAACGCTTGGTAACTTCATTATTTGATAGTGATTCATGTACACATGTTTTTGAATTAGACGAAATCGTACAATGGACTGTGCGTTTTGTTGAGAGTTCTTATTATCATGGAAGCGCTTTTCAAAATTTTCAGTCTCCTTTTTGAATGCTACAACCTTCACTTGCATCCACAGGCAGCTTGTTTTACACCAGGTCTGATGTGAACATTATCTATTATTTCTAGCCAAAGCATCGGTCATGAGCAAACATGGAATTACAATCGGCCTTGCAGCTGGACTCGGTATTCTGGTTGTGGTTGCCCTCGTCACCGTCTCGGTGGTTCTTTGTCGGAGACAGACCCAACACACTTTGGGTATGTATTTGGGAATGTTTAGGTCTGATATTTGGGGGTTTACGGATTTTCAATCTAACAATTGAGGTCGTTAGGTCGATTTAAAAAGAAATTATATTTCAAATATGTTCATGGCCTCAGTTAAACCAAGTAGGGAGGGTGTCATTGTGATCAATTTACTAAAGGTTTTAATTTTAAGTAATTTACTCCTACTGATAGTGACTTATTTCTGGTCTGTTGAATGGCAACATGGAAACTACTTTTCCCGTAACCCTAGCCCAAAAACAACGCCTCAACCTTTACCCCGACCTACCTCCTCCTACCCCCACCCGCCATAAACATTATCACGTCTGACCTCATTTCATCATATATTACTATATATTACATGTTGTAAATAACCGTAGGTTTACATACTGTTTTATGTATTATTTGCTTGTTGTCGAACGTCCTTTCCTATTGTAATTAAGACAATATTTTATTATTATGTCAAGTTGTAGGTGGAGAGGAACCTACAAACCTACCTATGTAAGTATAACGTAGCAGTTGTTATTGTGAAAATCTGGGTTAGAATAGGTCTTCAGCAACCCATGATTGTCGCAAGAGGAGACTGACGGGATCTGGTGGCAAGGCTCACTCACTTGGTCAGTGCATGTTAATGTATCCCAATTGGTTAGATCGAGGCTCAAGATGAGACAGGCATATTTAACGATCGCCGTTATATGGCTGGAATATTTGTGAGAGTGGCGTTAAACAAGAAACAAGCAAAACATCTACCTGTGTACAAAACCAACCACTTGTCAAGGCAACTTTGGGCATCTTGTTACAGTCAACGAGAAAGTCACACGTGTTGCCCCCTCTGCCCTACATCGGTAATAGGACATGAAGATACTTTAATGTGATCACTTACGTATAAGTGACCCATGACGATCCCGGGTAGAATAGGTCTTTAGCTACCCATTCTTGCCGTAAAAGGCGACTATGCTCTCCGTAAGAGGTGACTAACGGGATCGGAGGGTCAGGCTCGCTGACTTGGTTGATGCATGTTATCATATCCCAATAGTGTAGATCGGTGCTCCTGATGTTAAACACTTGATTGTCTGGTCCAGACTCGATTATTTACAGACCGCCGTCTTATAGCTTGAATATTGCTGAATGCAGCGTTAAACAAGAATAAAATAAAATGTATAAGTATTCTATTTCACTGATGCTTCGTATTGTTTTGTTCGATAACCAGTAATACCTTCTATTTATTTCCAACATCAAGGAATTCGTTCATGCCTCGACCCAGTCCATTCCAGCATGGTAAGTACAAGTTTCAATCTAGCCCAGTCGTTCATATACATCCACTTCAGTGTTTCATTGAATCATAGTTCTTACATGTTCAACTATTTCTTTACCTACATAAGTACTTTCAGCAGCGAATTAAATTAAATGAATCTACTGATACGTGTAGGACGTAGGATGAAGGATGGATGTATCAATATGACCTGGCTGCGTAAGTGCTTCAATTTCTCTATGCGCCACAATTGTTTGCGAAGAGAGAACCTTATTACATAGAAGATAGGAGATAAACCTAGTTCCCAACTCTGAGATATCGAACATCTATTTCATTCAACTAAACGCGTCAGCATAACACATCGAGAATGATAGCTATTTTTAATAACCTGAAGAGTCAAAGTCAGGAACCAACGCAGTCTATGGAGTATATCAAGTGATGACAGGTGATGTATAATATATTGTAGTATAAGGGGTAACCTGTGTCACCTGCATGTGCTTTTACATATTCTAAAACCATTCTTTTCAACTAAATACTTAAATATTTTCAGTATTGAAACATTTACATTACGGATATCCAAGGTGGACATTGTGTAAGCAGTATTAAAACTGATATTCCATACATAAATATAAAATGCTCCATGCAACATCAATACTTTGGTACACCCCACTGTCATGATGGCATGCTGTTTTAGATACATTGAGGCAACCGCTCTTTTACGCCATAGACGACATCACGCTACAAGGTGGAATAAGTTGTCTTGATGTGACTGAATTTCGCACTGCACTCGCTATTCGTAGGTTTCCGTCTACAGTGTATTGCAAGGCTTGTTTAAACATTCAGGGACCCATTATCTATTTAAGTGCGTCAAATACTAGAAACTATTTCCTTTCGGAAGACATGGAAACCAGCAAAAATATGGCCGTACGTATGTTTGTTACCACTGGTATTAAATTACAAAACAAAGTCACAATAGGATTAATGATGTTTAGACAATGGATGGAGGAGAATATTTAAAATAGGTTTGTGTCAGTATTTTAACACTGATCACTGATGAAGACAATGTGAACAAAATATACTTCACTGTTCCCAATTCCCAAACGTAAACAGCATAAATGTTTTCACTACGTGTATGTAAGTGTGTACATTTCTATTTCTATACATGCGACATATGTTGATTTCTCCAGCGATGCAGGGCGTTTGGACATGGAGCAGTTGTCACATACCTTACCAACTGTGTTCATAAAATAAATGTTCACTCAAACACAAATTATATTGATGGTGTTAATACTTTCGTTAATTTTTCTCCAGATTCTGTTGACGTGAACACCAAGAGCTGCGATGCCACCAAACAGAGCTGTGAGGATTAGTGTCCATTGATGGATTCTTCCTGGTTATTTACAATCCATATCAGCTGAAGACAGATGCCTGCTTTGCCATCTATTCTGAATAACTAGTTTAAATCCCATGTACTTTACTGCTTTGTCTTTGGTGTCTTTTCTGTACGTTGTTGATATTTTAAGATTGTGTTAAGGGCTCTCATGCTGGTGATGATGTGTATTGTTGACTGAAAGTATATAACGTGATGGAGGGTGCTTTATGATATATTCTAGTATAAGGGGTAGCTTGTGTCATGATACGTGTACGGGCAGTGTATGGAGTATATAACGTGATGGAGGGTGCTTTATGATATATTCTAGTATAAGGGGTAGCTTGTGTCATGATACGCGTACGGACAGTGTATGGAGTATATAACGTGATGGAGGGTGCTTTATGATATATTGTAGTATAAGGGGTAGCTTGTGTCATGATACGTGTACGGGCAGTGTATGGAGTATATAACGTGATGGAAGGTGCTTTATGATATATTCTAGTATAAGGGGTAGCTTGTGTCATGATACGCGTACGGACAGTGTATGGAGTATATCAAGTGATGGAGGGTGCTTTATGATATATTCTAGTATAAGGGGTAACTTGTGTCATGATACGCGTACGGACAGTGTATGGAGTATATCAAGTGATGGAGGGTGCTTTATGATATATTGTAGTATAAGGGGTAGCTTGTGTCATGATACGTGTACGGGCAGTGTATGGAGTATATAACGTGATGGAGGGTGCTTTATGATATATTGTAGTATAAGGGGTAGCTTGTGTCATGATACGTGTACGGGCAGTGTATGGAGTATATAACGTGATGGAGGGTGCTTTATGATATATTGTAGTATAAGGGGTAGCTTGTGTCATGATACGTGTACGGGCAGTGTATGGAGTATATAACGTGATGGAGGGTGCTTTATGATATATTGTAGTATAAGGGGTAACTTGTGTCATGATACGTGTACGGGAATTGTATGGAGTATATCAAGTGATGGAAGGTGCTGTATTATTATTGTAGTATAAGGGGTAACTTGTGTCATGATACGTGTACGGGCAGTGTATGGAGTATATCAAATGATGGCAGGTGTGTTACAATAGGTGTAGTACAAGGGGGTAATGTATATTATGATACGTGTACGGGCAGTGTATGAAGTTTATTGTAAATGGATGAAGAACGAATGTGGCGGACGAAGGACAATAGAATAAATGGGAGGACAGTTAGAACGTTAGAACTGTTCGATTTATTCAATAATGGAATGAAGACGTGTGTTGATTGTAACATTCTCTCTGGGACAGTTTGATGATAGCAATGTGTCTAACTATATAATGATATATATAATAACGTTTTAGATATCGGTTATATCAATTTAACACACATGCTTGGTGATCGAGTGTTATAACTGTTCATAAGTTTCACATGTGCATTGGTCCGCTAAAAATGCTGTGCTCTTTTGGTTGCCGTAACGACTTAGCTAACAGTGCATTCTTTTATAAACGTCTCATTATTCGGATTATCTAACCCCTAATACATTCAGGAGTTTTTCCTTAAAACGGAAGTCACATGAAATGGAAGTGTCACGCTACATATGAAGGACACATTGTCAAGTGGTCCTATTCGTCAAACCCCAATTTGCCCAGCTCTGTTATTCCCTTATCTCAATTTGCCACTCAATGTCATTTTGTCTCTCCGATCAATAACACTTCTTCAGAAGGATTTGCTAATGATTCCAATGCTGACACTAATATTTGTGTACATCAATGAACAGGAAACACAAAGAAGAAGACCAAAGGTAACACAACGTTTTCTGTGCAATTGATCAACAAAAATGAATAAATTCCACCAAATACAGATATTATTTTGATCTGTACATGTTTTTCATTTCGGCACACACAACGGACAGTGGAGTAAACGACCTTCCCTCTGGAGTGCATTGAGTCGAGAAGCATAGTTTCTCTCAAACGTCTTAAGGGGAAACAGTTACGGTCCGAGTCTGTTCATTTTGTCAAACCAACGGAAGTCCAAACCAAAAGTCATTAAACCTGCAGAGTAACCAACGACAGCGTCCGTAAATCAGGACCTCGTGGAATTGATGACCCTGTTGAATACTAACTGTACTTTGCTGGAATAACAAGTCGTGTTATGTACGACAACTGCCTCTTTCTGTTTGTTAGATTTGTAATGATTTGTAATGAATAAACTCCCTTGTGCTCATTGTAATTCCTGCATTCTGATCAGCTAAACTGATCACGTGTTATTGCGTCCTTTTCCAAATGCATGTAAAAAATAAGCCACGCCCGCTGAAGCGGACTGCTTTCACCACTACCGAATGTCGGGGAATCCCAATTACGGTCGAGACAATTCCCTTCTCCTCACCTGTGTCATCATGCACATGACTTTTTAGCGAAATTCATGTATATTCAGTGTGCAAACTACCCTTCAATGCAGAAGGCAAAGAAGGAATGAAACAGCACACGTGCTACACATTGCCTATTGGCTGCAGGGTTTGTGGGAGTACTTAATTCTGTGCATAAATTAAACAATCACTTGATTCATGTCAAGCCCCAGTATATATTTCTCTCTGCGAATTTAATTTTGAGGAGTGAATGTGTATTTGTATCTGTTCAATGAGGTATGATTCGAAAAAGCGATGTGCAAACTTGTGTCAAACTACGCTTTGCGGATGAAGTCTTGTCAGCTAGTTATCTCCAAAATATTGTTTCTTAATGATATGGACATCTGAACGTAATAAAGCAATATTGGCGTTAGTTTATCACGACTGGTATGTATGATAATGAATCAAAATGGTTCGGCTTTCTTGATCTTGATCATACCATTTTGGAAGAGGGAGATCTGAGTGCTCGCCAAGGACTGTTGATTCGACTATCATAAACTTATGTTAAAGTATGGAAGCTACGATCATCTTTGAGCTGAGATTGCTTTGTGATCAGATCAATAATAAGATTACCATTTAGCACTGACGTACAACCAGAGGGACAGAGAGTACGGGGACAGAGAGTGTGTACTTTTTGTAATTCACAATTCAATTAAGTGAATTTAATTATTTCTTTATATGCCCACGCTATAAAAAGGAACATAAAATCCTTAAAAGACTACTACTGTACATGGCCTAACCTTATAAAATAGATACCGTCAAAACAACAAACTCTCAACCATAATGAACGTATCTAATTTCTAAAAACACCTAAGTAAGAAACATAAAAATACATTTTCATATTGCTAAAATTTGTGGAATATTCTATTTGTAATCAATTACCACCGATGGCGGTCCTCAACGGGTGTGTTGGAAAGACCCGGACAATGTGAATAGCGTTGGGGCATAAAGTGAGACCTGGTTGATTGTGTGCCACCATGCCAGACGTCACGAATGTCTTGGCATGCAGTGTATCACCATCCGCTCCTGATTATTTACAGACAACCGCGTTATGCTTGAATATATGCAAAAGCAGCATAGTGTCACTCACTCACATACTCACTCACTCACATATAGTCGTACCCAATGTCACTCACCCACTCACATATATGTCGTACGTGATAGCTACTGTACTGTCAAACTTCAGAATTTGCTGACATTGAAAACCAAAATAAAGTAGATTTTACTGAATTTATAAGAATGAGCATTATCAAAAAAACATGAACACAAGTACTTCAGGCGTATCAGTGTACTGTTGGAGTTGGTGACGCTGGTGACGACGGTCGTGATCAGTGAATTTCCTCTAAAGGGAAGCTCCGACAGATTCAGAAATAGCAGGTAATAAAGAAAGCATGTGTGTCTAATCGTTTGAGAAAAGTCATACAATAATTCATGTATAACCGTCGCTCACGCTCGGGAAGTACACGATTTTGTATTTATTTAGAACGACTACTTCACCAGTGCCACTACTCCAATCTACTATCTACACGCAGTGTCAGACAGGGATAACCTTGGGAGAGCCTGCTTCAGAAGAATGTCGAACTATGATTACGTGAAAGTGTTGACACTGTGACCAGGGTACATGCTGCTACTTCCTTCCTCGATCTGGAATGAAAACACGATTCTTCAAGTGCAGACTGAAAGCAGAGATACAGGGACAAAGGCATCTCCCAACCTCGTTTCCGATATTTGAGAACACTTGCCATGTCCCCGTCTCACTCAGCAACACCCACTTGGATCATGTATGAATAGGAATGATTGTGTCCCAGTGTAAATGTACGTTAGGGATGTTTATTCTCAAGTGTTCAAATGAGCGGATATAAGTATCATGTATGAATAGGAAGGATAGTGTCCCAGTGTAAATGTACGATAGGGGTGTTTATTCTCAAGTGTTCAAATGAGCGGATATGAGTATCATGTATGAATAGAAAGGATTGTGTCCCAGTATAAACGTACGATAGGGATGTTTATTCTCAAGTGTTCAAATGAGCGGATATGAGCATCATGAATGAATAGGAATGATTGTGTCCCAGTATAAATTACGATAGGGATGTTTATTCTCAAGTGTTCAAATGAGCGGATATGAGCATCATGTATGAATAGGAATGATTGTGTCCCAGTATAAATGTACGATAGGGATGTTTATTCTCAAGTGTTCAAATGAGCGGATATGAGGTCAATGTAATTTGGACATTGTCCTGCAGCTCAAAACCTAAATACATATACACATCTTCAGTTTACAAAATCCCTTAAATACAATTCATTTGATGACTGCCTTATAATATGCGTTATAAAATTATTAAGTGTATATTAATCTGCAGCAATATTGAATTTACCATTTAATAAACATGAATAATAAATCGCAGTGACATTTTTTCAAAGCCTCACCAATTTTGATGTTTGGAAGGTGCACTCTCCTTATCCTCATAGTTCTTGTAACTGAAAGGAAACAGGGAAGATAATATTCTACCAGAAACACTGAGCAGCTATCTTACCCATCACCAAATGACAAACGTTGCAAGTGTTAAACATTTCACAAACGTTTCGCTTTTTAATGACAGTTATGGGATCATATTTAAACGTGTTTAAACATTAGTCTCAATCACTAAATTAACTATGCATATTTCCTGATTCTAAAACAGAACTCACAACTGGGTATCTGTACACGATCTCCCTTGAACTCTTTTTCCTCTGCAATAAAACATGTGTTTATGGATTACAATTGTGTGATGTGACCATTACATCTTGGCTGTCTCACTATTAGGGGTGCACGGGCAGCTGGTAGAACAATGTTACAGATACAAATAGCGTTACGTGCTTTAACTGTCAACATAATATGAGAGCATTCAAAGTCAATTATTGTGATATGAATCCTCTGATTGACCAAACAGAAGCAATTTGTTTCAGAATTCATGGTAAAACACTTTGTCAATCAGATTATCTGTTTTTACTTCAGCTTTAAAGGTCAAAGCTGAGTCAGAAACAAATTGTTTCCCATTGCACTTTATAAACTATGAAGGTACTATTAATACCTTTGTTCACGACTGTCCAATATTCAGAATCTTTGTCTTCTCTGACGTCTTTGTGTTTGAGTATCTGTCGACAGACGTGGCCATCATACAGGATCCCTTGACAGTGGGATAACGTCACACACGATCGACCACATTGTAGCCTTGGGTCCATGATAGACATGGACATGTCTCTAGCACCCTTGTGTGTCAGTCTCAACGTGTGTACACGACCTCCGTGTGTGAGATCACAAAGGAATAACAGACCAATCACGTGCAGCCAGCTCGCGAGCCTCATGGTGTTGTCTGGAAAGCCAAGTAATTAAATGATTCAAAATGTGCCAATACATACGTGTGTTTGTTGTTTTTTTACGCAGCACAGGGTCATGTTACAGTTATATGAAGGCGGTATGTAAATAATCGCGTCTGATTCAAACAAGCCAGTGATTGACATCATGAATATCGACCCACGTATTTGGGATACGATGATATGCAATCAACCAAGTCACCAGGCCTGACTACCCGACCCATTTAGTCGCCTCTTACAACAGGCATAGGCTGCTCTTGGTATAAGTTCTGACGATAAGTTTGTATCGATGTTAGCAGTTGATATTCCAGATATCGATGAAACATATCGGTTAATCCATCACGGTATTTTGATCTGTCGTTACATCCCTCAGGTACATTCCAGCGCCGAATTCAAAACATAAGAAATATAAGAAAGCTACATGATAAAGAGAAGAGAAATAATAAAAAAACGATGAAACACTGTTATATCATGACGTCATTTCTGGAGTTTCGAACAAACGCCAGCAACGTGATGTCGTCGTAAATTGAACGGCGTTATTTTTGAAAGGCTAGTTGAGATAAACGCAATGGTCGAACGACCGCACCTAAAAGTGGGCGAGCTACGACATTCTGTAATGGGAGAAAAGGTACAGATAATGGCTGTCAATTGTTTTTGTGTTGAGAATATTCAGGGAATACCAACTTAACCCCTCTTTTCATGAAAAGCACTTGTATTTTGGATTGGATTGTATTTTGGGAGTCATCATTATTTAAATACGGGTAAACATTCTTAAAACATGTAAATGTTATTAACATCCTTCAAGAGGCTGTCAATAATGTTGATATCTCATATAAGAAATAAACGATGCTTCCCTCTTGGTTTATTCTCCCTGCTGAGTTATATTGTACGATAAACATCTGCCTCTCGTTTGTTTCTTAATAAAACCCCACAACTATTGTCATGGCGTGTCTACAATCAGCAGGACTTCACATTAATACAACAGTTACATCATATCATCACTAACATTTACATCCTTGTTGAAAACATACTGATATCGTGTTTTTATCATGTACATTAACATCGTATTTGGAAAACTATCCCAAAACTTATGGTTATTTTTATCAATTCACAACCTGTACCTACAACTCACCTGCTGATCAATTGTCTTCTGCAAACATATGAAAAATAACTACAAATGTTTTCCTAAGCTAGACAACCACGGATATGTAAAATATTTATGTTCCTCAGTGATATCCTGAATGTGATGGGAGTAAACAAGATATCCATTTCACGCCACGCTAAATGGACAAGGACAACAAACGACCGATGTACTGTATTTCTTGTCGAGTGTATCACTTACAGTTTGGATACATATATACAGCCCTGGTTAGCAACACACTTGTCCTCAAAACAATACAAAACCTTGAACCTAGTACCTGCAGCAGATGGTGTCGGGGAATTCGTTGTAGTAGTTGTAGCAATTGCGAAGCAGTATTAAGGAAGAGTAGCAGAATTATAATAAAGGACCAGGGTTCCGTTCAACAAAGCGATGTCAGCACTACGACTATCTTGAGCATATGTTAAAGTATAGGAATTACGATCATCTTAGCGCTGAGGTCGGTTTGTGGAACGGGGACCAGCTGTCGTAGGGGTAGTAGAAAGTGCTTTCAGTGTTGTATAATACGGAGAGTTTTGTAGACATATCTGCTGTATAAACGGCAACATGTAGAAACAACTCATGATCTTAGTCAACTTTTAGCAATATTCTAGCAATATCACGCGGGGGACACAAGAAATGTGCTTCACACATTGTTCCCATGTCGGGAATCGAACTCGGGTCTTCGGCGTGACGAGCGAACGCTGCAACCACTAGTCTACCCAACCGCCCGAATACTGCATTGATGATAAATCAGGGGCTAACATTTTAACGCGGAACAGCATGACCATCACATCAGGTGGATCTGAACAGGACATGTCAACATACGGCCTACAGAACAGGTCAACATACGGCCTACAGAACATTTCAGTGTAGGGCCTACAGACCATGTCAACATACGGCCTACAGAACATTTCAGTGTAGGGCCTACAGACGATGTCAACATACGGCCTACAGACGATGTCAACATACGGACTACAGGACATGTCAACATACGGCCTACAGAACATTTCAGTGTAGGGCCTACAGACGATGTCAACATACGGCCTACAGACGATGTCAACATACGGACTACAGAACATGTCAACATACGGCCTACAGAACATTTCAGTGTAGGGCCTACAGGCGATGTCAACATACAGCCTACAGAACATTTCAGTGTAGGGCCTACAGGCGATGTCAACATACAGCCTACAGAACATTTCAGTGTAGGGCCTACAGACCATGTCAACATACGGTCTACAGAACATTTCAGTGTATGGCCTACAGAACATGTCAACATACGGCCTACAGAACATTTCAGTGTAGGGCCTACAGAACATTTCAGTGTAGGGCCTACAGAACATGTCAACATACGGCCTACACAACATTTCAGTGTAGGGCCTACAGAACATGTCAACATACAGCCTACAGAACATGTCAACATACGGCCTACAGTACATTTCAGTGTAGGGCCTACAGACCATGTCAACATACGGCCTACAGAACATGTCAACATACAGCCTACAGACCATGTCAACATACAGCCTACATAACATTTCACTGTAGGGCCTACATAACATGTCAACATACGACTCAAACTTGTTTGATCAAAGAACTTGATATAAGTGGCATATCAAATATATAAGGCTTGTATGTTAACTGAGGAAAAGTCTGCCAAAACCTCGCCTCATTATCATCAACTTTAGAATTGAAGACTCGTCCAGTCTTTTGTATTGGGTTCAAACGCTCCCCAAATATCCGTACAAAGAGTGAGTGTGTTTAGTTTAACACAACTTTGAACAGTATTCCAGTTGTATCACTGCTTGTCAGCTTTATGTGGGAGGAAACTCAAAAGTGATGCAGGTCTGGGATGAGGACCACGACCACGGATACGGTGCTGACAAACCTAGCTACATAATCGGGGCGAACCGGGATACAAATCCCCAATCATAGGTTACTTGCGTGCCCATGGATCAAAACTCTGCATATTGAATTGCCGGGCCTTTGATGACTCGGCTGCCTGTGCCCCCATCTTTCAATTTGTGTTTCAGAATACTGCTGGTACTGAAGTAAACATCATCAGCTTACTTGAGAAAGAAACATTTTGCGACAAATACATTGAAGCAAACAATATACATGGTATCTACTGCCAGCTGGCTACTTAAGGAATAGTTGTAATGAAGACAGGAATATGTATACCAAAGTTCATATGACTTTATTACTAATACATATGTGGGAATATAAATATTGAGTGGGTAGGTTTAACGCGGCTTCATATATTAATCCTAAATTGGCAAGGCTGGTGACGCCAAAACCTAGCTTAACACATTTCCGTGACTCGAATTCTGCTTTTGTTCGTGATGAGCCAACATTTTAATCACAAGATTACCTTACAACTGCAGCAACAATAACACGGTTACTACTATGAATATAGTATGTGAAGTTCAGACAGCAGGGATTGGTGCAACATCAGATTAATTGTGTGGTGCTGATGGCGATGTTATAAGGCGTCAAAGTTGTCACATTGTCAAAGTTGTCGCATTGATGAACGTGTAGTTACTGGAACCATATTCATTCACAGCATTTAGCCGAATGTCGTACATTGTTGCCGGTTTTAGACCATCCAGCTTCAGTTGAAGGGCGTAGTCCTCCCTCGGCATGGATGGGTGGGTGATCCATTGACCGTCAGGTTGTCTGTATTCTATGTTGAAACGTTGTTCATAGAAGCCGTTGAAGCCTTTGTCCCATGTGATGATAATGGAACGCGAGTCCACGGTGGCGGCTTGCAGATTCGTTGGTGTATCTGGCTTACCTGTATTGAACACAAGTCAGGACTTAAAACCTCACAACATCTAAAACCTCAGCTCAACAACACATGGACAGTTCTCAGAGGTCACATAAACTAAATTTGCATCCATCATTCAAAAATCCAGTAACAAAATCCTGAAGCTTTTTCATTCATAATCCTTTGTGCACCACGAATGAAACTTGGGAGTCCCTAACACTGACTCCCAACCCAACCACAACACCCACGCACGCACGTACTCACGCACACACAGACACAGACAGACAGAGCTTAATAATGATATTGCTGTATGGGGCAATGTGGTCAACATCAAAATCGGATGAGGAATATGACTCAACGTGTTGTACAGCGTAAATCACCGAATTGCCTTTGGTCCACACTGTCTGCAGAGAATCAGCCACATACTACAAAGATATACTTAGAGTGTTCAGGACTCCGGTTCACGAAGCAGTCTTAGCGTTACGTTCATAGTAAGTCTATTTATACTATGGGATTTACGACTTCTCAATTGACACACAGTAATGTAACGGAAACACTGTTCAAAGCGGCGTTTATCACAACCAACTCATTTGTCGCTTTAACATTTACCGTAGATAATAAGTTGAATGTCTTTGATCATGATGTTGCCACCGACTGTACATCTACAGGTGTATGTCCCTCGCTCGCCACTGGTCAACTGGTCAAGCTGAAGGCGGGTTGCATCGGGAAGTTTTAACGTGTAGACCCTGCACACAGAAGATGGAGCAACGAGATTTAATCATACACAGTGTAAGTGTTCTTATTGATAGTGTATGAAAGCCGTACCTGTTGCGTTTTGAATCGTTTCTGATGTAAGATCCAATGATATCGTCATTTTTGTCCAGCCATTCGAACTTGGCCTCTTGCAGTTCGTCGCCTGAAAGTCCATCGACTTTGCAATACATAGATGCTGAAGTGTCCTTCTGTCGCCTTATCCTATCTTCTGATGGAGTAATAACGATTTTAGGGGGAACTGAAATAAAGCAGCACTCAAGTTAAGTCAGACAAAACAAACAGCGAAACTGAAATTGAGAACGGATTGGCATGTCTTAGTTGGCAATATCACACAGAGTCAACAACAGCTTCCATCATCTCTATCATTCTGCTTGTTGACTCTGTGTTGATTAGTCATCCACTGCCTTCGATTTATTACAAATACTACTACACTACTAGATGGTACACACTACCGACCAGTGGTCAGAAAATCAACCAGGTCAGAAATGAAATGTTTTCATTCCATCAAATAT